CTTCCCTGGTTGGTCCGTTTCCCTTTACGTAAGGGTGGAAGTTACAGGAGATTCAGAAAACAAGGTGCTTGATCTGCAGTGAGGAATGAGATTCGCAGTGGGCCTGGCTTCTTCAAGGGTTCTTAACGCATGTTTAGTTATGAGCTCTGCAGCATTTGCTCAAAAGCTGTGACTTAATGTTCTTGGAATCCTTTTCTTGCTATTTCTTTTGTATTCAGCCTGTTGCCATTTCCAGTTTTATTCATACACGGTAAGGTCCTAACCCCAGATCGATGGGGTTGGTGGATATGTGATCATTGACTTGAGACAGTCAAACCTTTATAGAGAGGGGATGTAGAATGCCAGACCTGGGATTCCTAATGCTAAGCTGTTTTTAAGAAATTAGCTTGAAATGTTCTAAACTGTTCACATTGTTTCAATTTTGAATCAGTGCAGTTAGTAACAGGGAGAGATAAGTCTTTAGTGTGCTTTTCATAGTGTTCATGTTTGTGTGTGACTCTCCACAGGTTGAGTAAAGTGAAACTTTGTCAGACGAAATACTTTTGTGAAATGCTACTATCAACTATGCTACTTTTTTTTTTTTTTAATAATGCTGAGAAGCTTTTCTGGCTTTTAATGGTGCTTAGAACATGTGTGAATGTTTTGGAAAATGTTAATAGTTCTATTTCAGATATCTCTAAATATTTCCTTAATAAACTATCAGGTACTGTTGCAGTAATCACTTCTGATGGAAGAATGATTGTGGTGAGACTTGTCTATCTTTACATTTTATTTTTCCTCATAAAGACTTGCCATCATGGCAGTAAAGGGACTGTGCTAGAGTGCTTTGACTTTTTGTCAAATGACCTTTTCTGTAGGGATGCACAAGAAAATGCATTTCTTTTTCTGTTCAGTAATTTGATTTCCATCTAAAATGTCCACTTTATTCAGTATGCTCTTCAACTTTCCTGCTAAAACCATTTCTTCCGTGTGGTTATAGAAAAGCATCAGCTGATAATTGTGGAAGAATTATTTTGGGATTCTCTATAAGCCTGAAAAGCTGAAGATTGGCAAACTGCTATGTATTAGACTGTATGATATTTTGATTTTATTGCTTCGGTGTTGCAGTGATAGTGGGGTTTTTTTTCTTGTATTCCTCTGCACATCCGTGTCTTTTTGAGTTTAACTTAATAGTATGATCATTATATGAGAATTATATTTTTCTGTCTGTACTTTGCTTTGTGCAGTCTCTGGAAAGAGAAAACAGTACTTTTAGCAGAAAAATACTACCTCCACCAAATCTTCTGTCTGATTGGAGTCAGTCTGAACTTTCTGCTGTGATACAAGATATTCTACCAGAAAGATTTGAATGGAATTGGTATATGTGACCGATTGTGATATGGTTAGATGGTGTAAATGGATATCACCACTGTTTGAATCATGGTGCTTTACATGAGTTTAAATTTCTTAATCACCGGTGGTAAATTATACAGATCAATTACTTTACCATTTTTTTAAACACATATTGAAGTGGCACAGAAATTTTTCTTTTTGTGTGTTTTGAATTTTTTTTTGTAATTTTGTGGAACCAAGCTAATCACCTTCAAAGAGATACCACTTAAGATTGCCTATCAAGATTGATTTCAATATTGTTGACCATAACAGCCCAATTTTTTCTGTTTATTGATTTAACTCATTATTTATTTGATTTCTGGAAACTTCCATACAAGAAAGACTAAAATAGTGTAGAAATAGTAAAATAAGTTTTCTAGAGGGCTGTCACTAATAAAATAGTAACTTTACTACTTTTGATGCTAATGATTGCTGTAGCTTTTAGCATGAACACTCAGTGGTAAATATGCTTTTCTTAAATTGACTGTTGCTTTTACAGTTTCATTCTGCAGCTGTTTGTTACTAGGCTTAACAATAAAATATAAACATAACTTCCTCTAGCACTTAAACATAGCATTCTCTAGTACCTTAGTATTGCCACCTTGTTTAAGATACCCTTGAGAGCAAAGATAATAAATTTAAGAAGTAATCGGAGTGCTTTATTTTTGTGTGGGTTTTTTTCAGGGAACCCTCAAAGGTTTTGATCAGACCATTAACTTAATTTTGGATGAAAGCCATGAACGAGTGTTCAGTTCTTCACAAGGAGTTGAGCAAGTAGTTCTCGGATTATACATTGTAAGAGGTGATAACGTGTAAGTACAGAATATTCTTGCTTAAACCAAGTAATAAAAATTTAGTGTGTGTGCATGTATATATAAGTAATGTTTCTGTATATGTCTCGATAGCCCCAAACATATTGTATCTTTGTATCTGGGGGTAACGCTGATAGTACTGTCAAAGCTGAAGCATATTAAATGGCAAATATTTATGCTTCTATTACAGAAGTGATTGCATTGTAATATTAGGATATCATTAGTCTAGATTTACCGACCTGTAAATTAACCAGCTAATATACTGATAGCAATCTAGGAAAGGTGAGTATAAAGCTCAGCATTTTCCTTTCTTTGAGTCTAGGCATTGTGTTTTCTTTATTTCAGTCTGGGAAAGGCAGGATCTGTCAATAGAGGAAAAGATAGAAGAATGATCAAAAGATGAGATAGAACTTGTGTGCAAAAAGTCAGCGATCCCGTATACAGAGTTGACTTTTAAGAGGATTTTTTTTTTTTTTAAGAGATTCTGGCTTGACAGTGTAAAAACTCTTGAAGCCAGTGTAGTGACAGGTGAAATATATGAGCTGCTATTTGATGTGAGATGCCCCGGCAAAAAAAGTTCTCTAAATACAGAGAAAAGTAACCAACATGCCAAGCAGATGGGAGGGTTACAAGAGAAGTGGAAATAAGGTCTGATAAGTAGGTCTGCTGGGAAGATAACTTTTGCAGCAGCATTCTGAAGCTGATTGCAAAAAATTAGGTTCTTACTTATGATAAGAAGAAAAACAGCATTTTGCAGTGTGATTCTGTGACCAATTTTGTCAGCCTAGATAGGAATTTTAGTCTTCTGGTTCCAATGGATGTTTTTGTACAAAGAAGTCAATACTTTGATTTGTATCTAGCTGCATTTATCTAACATCATTGAGAAAGCAGATTATTTTGGAAAGCTTTTGTCACCTTTCACTTAAGCTTTTAAGCAAAAATAAATAAATTGACAAATATACAAAGGTAGGGCTAAGCATGCTACTCTACTAGTAACTTCTCATTCAAATAGTACAAATGGGTATAAAAAGCCAGATAATTGTTTACTACTTCACTTTTTCACCATACCAGGCTGCCATGGTACTCAAATATACGCAAATCATTCTTTTATAGAAATTATTCTGGTTTTTGTAACCTTAACAAACTCGGAAACATATTCATTAGAAGGAATAATTTTTTCCTGCAACTCCTAACATGCAGAAATTCAGCATCCTTATAGGATGAAGGAAAAACAAACAACAATGAAGTACCAGTAACTTCAGATAACTCTCAGAAAATAGAGAAGCTGTTGAAAAGTAAGAGAAACGGTCATGGGATAAAGTGCTTCTGGGCATTCTGGTGTGTGTCACTAGAAGCTTACACTGAATATGCAGTATCAGTCAGAAAAACTGTGTGGTTCAACAGCAAGTAAAGGTTGTTAGAAGGTTGTTTTAGAAGTGTGTGATGAATTAGGGAAACAAAAAAAGATATTACTCTTTTACGCATAATTTTTTAGTATTAAAAATCATGAAGAGAAGATGGTTAAAAACCCAAACCTCTTAAATGTGTTTGTTTTGCTGCGTGACAAGTAGAAAGCCTATGAAAGAGACATCAAGAGTGGCAGATATTTTTTGTTCCTTTTACATCTATGACAGTGAGATCTCTGACGAAAAAGCTGTGTTTCTTGATGTGAACTAAAGAGAGACACTTTGATATCACAGACAGTTTTTAATCTGAGGAGATGTTTTAAGTTGAAGAGGCACTTTGGAAAAAGCTGATAAATGGAATAGTAATGAGCATCTGGGGTCAAGTGCTTTTTGCACAGGAGTTCTGAAGGGAGTTAAATTTGAAATGCAGTTTCATGCTGGTCAGTACTTGAATATTCAGTTGGCATAAGCAGTTTGCATTTGTGTTGTCTAAGCTCCCAAGACAGTGAAGAATTAGGCAGTGATGGAACTAAGAAAGCTGCTCACCTGACCAGATTTTAGTTTCATGGCAAGTTAAATTCCTCTGTAGTTTACACTGACATCTGTGTTGGGATGTCCAGCTCTTAAGCTCAGTCTCGCCCTGGTCTCTCGCTAATTTTTTTTTTTTTTTGTAAATACTGATTCACTGGGAAGAGGGAATATTGGGTATTAATAGGAAGAAAACTCAAAGAGCAGGCATTATCATGCCATTGCCTGAACACCTGGTATACCTCTAGCTTTAGAGGGGTGCAGTAGGAACATTCAAGAGTGCAAGTGAGAAGATCTAGGGGTGTGAAAGGTTTTCTGTCAAGAAGAGGCTGAATGGACAAGGGCTCTTTAGTTTGGAAAAAGCACAGCTATAGGGGTTAGTGTTTGCTGTGAAATCAGGAGTACTAGAAGGAGTTGCAAGATAATCACTTCATGTGAATTCCTCTATTTCTGTTATTGAAGATGGAAAACAATCTAGTAATAAGTTATCTATAATGAGATTTCATTGCACACTCTAAAATTTAATTGTGGAATTCACTGCTGCAGGA